TCCTGGAAGCCATTGGAGACACTGAGGAATTTTAAGCCGACAGGTGACATGATCAGATTTGTATTTTAGAAAGATACCTATAGCAGCCATATGTCAGATGGATTGGATGGAGACAGGACTGGTTTTGGGACAGCTGATTAACAATCTATTGTAGTAATCCAAACTAGAGATGGTAAGACCAGAAATAATTCAGTGACCAGGAGGACACAGAAGAAAGAACTGAAATGAGAGATTGCTTAAGGAGACAGAATCATAGGACTTCAGAGACTGGCTGGGGCAGAGAAAGAGGGAAGGGGGAGAAAAGAAATCGAGGAAGTTTTCGTGGTTACTGACTTTGGCAGCAAGGTGGAAGATGAAGGTACCAAGGACATGGAACAGGTGGAAGAGCAGAGGTGTAAAGGTGATAATACTATTTTTTAAATTGAGATAGTTTACGTATGATGAAATGCACAGAACTGAAGCATACAATCCAGTGAGTTTGTTCAGATATATGCACCCATTAACTAACACACCAATCGGCATATAAAACATTTCCTTCACCTCATTGACAAGCGCTGTTTGACTTCATCATCATAGATTGGTTTTGTCTGTTTTTGAACTTCACCTAAATGGGATCGTACAATATATAGTCTTTTGTGACTAGCTGCTTTCCTTCAGCATGGGCATATAAAACATTTCCTTCACCTCATTGACAAGCGCTGTTTGACTTCATCATCATAGATTGGTTTTGTCTGTTTTTGAATTTCACCTAAATGGGATCGTACAATATATAGTCTTTTGTGACTAGCTGCTTTCCTTCAGCATGTTATTTCTGAGATTCATCCTTGTTCTTGTGTGTATCAGTAGTTCTCTCTTTTTATTGCTGAATAGTATCTGTTGTATAAATATACCACAATTTGTTCATCCACTTTCTTCTTTTGATGGACATTTGGGTTGTTTCCAGTTTTTTGTTTGCTTGCTTTGCTATTAAGAATAAAGCTGCTGTAAACATTCTTGTTATAAGTCTTTTTGTAAACATGTGTTTTTGTTTATCACTTGTAAATATCTAGGAGTGGAATTCCTGGGTCATAGGATAGGTGTATATTTAAGTGTGGAAGGAACTGCCAAACAGTTTTCTAAAGCAATTCCAGTATTCTATACTACTACCAGCAATGAAAGAAAGTTCTGGTTGATTTACATCTTTGCTGCTTTGATGCTTTTAGTGTTTTTAATTTTAGCTGTTTTAGTGTGTGTGAAGTGGCATCTCATTATGATTTTAATACAACTGAGTAATAACGAATACTAATGATACTAAGCACCTCTTTGTGAACTTATTGGCCATGCACTTTTCTTCTTTTGTGGTTTCTGTTCAAATTTTTTGCCTATTTTTATTGAATTAATTTTATTATTAAGTGCGAAATTTCTTAGTATTCTAGATACAAGCCCTTTGTCCTGTATATGCAATATTTTCTCCCATTCTATCACTTGTCTTTTCATTTTCTTAACGATTTTTTTTTTTTTTTTTGGCAGCTGGCCAGTACAGGGATCTGAACCCTGACTTTAGTGTTATTAGCAACTTGCTCTAACCAAGTGAGTTAGCCTAACAGCCAGTGATATCCTTTGATAAGCAGAAAATTTTAATTTTGATAGACTAATTTATTAATTTTTTTCTTTCATGGTTAGTACTTTTTGTATTCTACAAAACCTTTGCCTATCCCAAGGTTGCAAATATATTTTCCTGTGTTTTCTTCTTGAAGCTTTATAGGTTTAGTTTTTATGTTTAGGTATACAATCAATCTTGAATTAATTTTTGTGTATGGTGTGAGGTATGAGTCAAAGTTTACTTTTTTCTATATGGATATCAAGTTGTCTCATGCATACATATCTATATCAAGCCTGTTATTAAAAGCCGTTAAAAGCCTTTCTCTATCTATTGAATTGCATTGACACTTTGTCAGGAATCAGCTGACTGAAATATGTATGGTTCTATTTCTGGATTTCATTTTTCTTAGGCCAGTACCACACTGTCTTATGGCATGTATGTCAAGGATGTCTTGTTATCTTTTATTAGAAGTGTTTAGTTTTATTCTAGCGTGCAGTTATTAAAAGCCTTTCTCTACCTATTGAATTGCATTGACACTTTGTCAGGAATCAGCTGACTGAAATATGTATGGTTCTATTTCTGGATTTCTTTTTTCTTAGGCCAGTACCACACTGTCTTATGGCATATATGTCAAGGATGTCTTGTTATCTTTTATTAGAAGTGTTTAGTTTTATTCTAGCGTGCAGTTATACCACTGGTAGAACCTTTTGATCCTGTCAGGCTTGCTTTTATTCTTCCAATTTGAATTTCTTCCTGTGGCATATCCTTTCTGGATCTCAGCATCAATACTCCATATTGTCTGGATGGGAATTCCATTGTCTCCCAGCTCCGTATGATCTTGAGTATCAGCATTTAGTTCTTAGTCCCACAGCAGGTGATCTCTGCCAGGTCTGATGAAATACTGCCCTTAGTATATGCAGCCCACCCTTCAGCCGAGAAGCTGCCCCCACCCCACCCACACTGTGCTGCTCTCTCTGTTCTGGTACCTTCCTTCATAAATGCCAGCCTCTTCAGCAGCACAGAACTCAAGTCTGCCTGTTCAGCGAGACTCCCATCTCTGCTTGGGCTCTGTCTCCCACACCACAGTAAGAATGTGCCCCCAAATGAAAGTTACACTTACCTCCTGTGATTCCTTTCTCTCAGAAATCACAGTCCTGAGCAGCTTGCTGCTCAGTGCCTGAAAACATATATTCAGTTGCCTCAGATATTTTGTCCAGCATTATAGTTGTTTATGGCAGGAGGGAGAATCCAGTTCCAGTTATTCAGTCATGGCCTGAAGTGGAAGTTGGGGTTCAGTTTTGGACACAATGTTGAGTTTTTGGTATCTATGCAACATTCAAGTAGTGATGCCCAACAGACAATTGGGAATTCATGTATGGTGGAGCTTGAAAGGGACAACTGGGCCCAGAAATTCAGATTTTGTAGTCATGCATTTACAGTAATAGGTGAAGCCAAGGGAATGGATGTGATCACTCAGCTACAGAATGGATAGAGAATGAGCAGAACATTTTTCTCTTAAAAAGACTGAGGAGGTGTAGCTAAAGAAGACTTTTCTTTATAACATCTCACAGTCAAGAGCCCAGCTTTTCTCCATTGTTCCTGAGGACCTACTAAAGTTTCTCTGGGTGATCATTATAGAAGAGCTTGCATACCTGGGCTCCAGTACTAATAATCTGTAGAGTTAAAGCCACACCAGTCTTGAGGAAGCTCAGCATTTCTTCCAGACATCATAACACCTGTGTACTTCTAGCCTTCTTTGGGCTTAGATAACAGACAAGTATGATTGTGATTTTCATAAAATAGAGAAGAAAACCAAGGCCCTGGAGAGGTTAACAATTTGATTAAGGTCAGTTGTGGTGTCTACCTTGATACTAGTTCTAATTTCTAGTTTTCTAGAGACTACAGAGTTTCAGACCTGGAAGTTGTTCTAGGTCATCTAACTCAACCCTCTTGTTTTTTAGGTGGGGAAATTGACACTCATAAATGAGAGGGCTTTAACTAGGTATAAAGAACAGAAATTCAATGAAGCCAGCTTATGCCAAAAGAAGAATTTATTGTAAGAGTACAGAGATATCTGATGGCATTCAAAGCTGAGCTTTGAGAATAAACTGGAGAGAAGTGCTATAGAAAAACTGGGATGCCCCTTCCGCCCTTTGCTCTGCTTTTTTCTGTGTGTCTGGTTCGTTCTTCTCTCAATGTAGACCAGCTTCTTCTGCACCCTCCCTACCCATGGAAAATGATCACTAACAACTATTTGTGAGTTTATAGCTTAGGAAAGAAGCCATTCATTCCCCCAACATTTAGGAAAGAACCAGCCTGATTGTAGAATCACAGCTCATTCTCTTGGAGGTCTCAGTGGCCCAGTTGGAAGCATGCAGAGTTCAATCAGTTGCAGCCAATGGGTTGAGATACCATTGCTCTACACATTTGTAGGGAGCTCTGCCTCTGTGATCATGTGGTATACATGGGAAAGGATATTTCCAAAGGCAGCAAGGAGGCAGATGGCTGGGCAGCCAGCCTAGTAGATGTTTAGGAAACTAGGATCACATCAGTAACCAGTGGCAGAGCCAGGACCAAAACTCACAGTACCTGACCCAGCAGCAGTCTTTTCTTGGGCTTCCCCAATGGGGGAACAGTAGTAATTACTTGATCTGGGAACAGGGGGACAGATGGACATTCACTGCCTAAATTCTCATTCCTGTTGGTGTAAAGAGATAACAGTTGTTTCCCTGGGAGTATAGGGGATCCAGAGCGCTAAGACCAGAACAGCCAAAGGTGGGTTCCCTCTGTATAAGTCCAGACTCTTTTAGTTACAAGTCACAGAAACCCAAATAAAACCAGCTTAAGCAGAAAAGGGATTTATTGGAAGGCCATTGGGGTACCTAACAAAATTGAAGGAAGAACTATAGATTCTAAAACACTTTTAAGAATTTAGAATCAGTGCTCTCAGGATATATACACATTTGCTCACCTTTTGTCTTCCTCTTTTTCAATTTTTATCTTTCATCTCTACTCATTTCTTCTTGGCTCTCATACCACAAGGTTTCCGCCACAAAGTGGGGAACTTGGCTGCAAGCAGTTCTGGGGTCATATCTTTATAGTGTCTGACTGAAGAGAAAAGAGTCTTCCCAGCTAATCCCAGGTAGAAAAATCCCAGAGAAGGATTCTGATTGAGGGGATGGAGTCCTCTGATTGGCTGGGCCTTGTTCATTTGCTCACCCCTGGGGTCAAGAGATGGTGGGGGGTATTTTAAGAAGGGGACTGGTAAGCAGGGTAGACAAAACCTCTTTTGTTTTGTGTCTGTCTCCCAGGTGACCATGGAGGCTGGCGGCCTCCCCCTGGAGCTGTGGCGCATAATCTTAGCGGGGACTGGTAAGCAGGGTAGACAAAACCTCTTTTGTTTTGTGTGTGTCTCCCAGGTGACCATGGAGGCTGGCGGCCTCCCCCTGGAGCTGTGGCGCATAATCTTAGCCTACCTGCACCTTCCGGATCTGGGCCGCTGCAGCCTGGTGTGCAGGGCCTGGTATGAGCTGATCCTTAGTCTCGACAGCACCCGGTGGCGGCAGCTATGTCTGGGCTGCAACGAGTGCCGCCACCCCAACTGGCCCAACCAGCCTGATGTGGAGCCTGAGTCTTGGAGGGAGGCCTTCAAGCAGCATTATCTTGCCTCCAAGACATGGACCAAGAATGCCCTGGACTTGGAGTCCTCTGTCTGCTTTTCTCTATTCCGCCGGAGGAGGGAGCGACGTACCCTGAGTGTTGGGCCAGGCCATGAGTTTGACAGCCTAGGCAGTGCCTTGGCCTTGGCCAGCCTATATGACCGAATTGTGCTGTTCCCAGGTGTATACGAAGAGCAAGGTGAAATCATCCTGAAGGTGCCTGTGGAGATCGTAGGCCAAGGGAGGTTGGGCGAAGTGGCCCTGCTCGCCAGCATTGATCAGCACTGCTCAACCACACGCCTGTGCAACCTCGTCTTCATGCCAGCCTGGTTCTCACCCATCATGTATAAGGTGGGTGTCCACATCAATAGATGGCCTTTTCAGTCCTGACCCCAGGGCTTGGCCACTTTTCAGTGGGTTCGTAATCCCTTTTTTGTTGAAATTGAGAGGTTAGTAGTTATTCCTATTCAAAAACTCCTCTGAGATCTGAACCAGTAGTTGAGAAATAAGCACAGGGATCAGTATAGTTCAAAATTCTGCTTTATTCCTGGCAAAGCTATATTAAAAAGTGAGGCTTTGAGCCACAATTGCTTTGTACCTCTTCCCTTCCCAACTGGACCAACTGGAGCCACCGGCAGAGCAGCTGTGTAGGAAAGCGAGGTTCTGGGAACATGCCACATGGTGACAGGAAGCAGAGAATATGTTCGCTGCTCATGCCCAGAGAAAGAACCAAAGAGAGAGGAGATGTACAGGATCAGTGACCCTCAGCTCATGAACCCCACCCTGTGTAGGGTCAAGGGAGGTCAGGTTTTACCAGGATTAGCTACTTCTCAAGGGTGACTGGAAACAGGGTTGGGAAATATTAGTCCATCACATTCCTTCCAAGAACACAGAACAGAAAATATGTTCAAAATAAAGTGTATTGAGGTGTTGGTAGCTCCTGGCAGAACGGTCTACAGCTTATACGTTGTCTAGAAACTGACTGTAATACTTGGATTATGAGCCTAGTCAATAAAAATTACAGTGCCACTATTACTACCAATATTCACGTAATTGACTCTCATGTTTGTAATAATCATTATACCACCAATCATTTATGATGCACTTAGTGTGTGCCAGGCATAGGCTTTAAAGCCATTATTATCCCATTTATTCCTCCCTACAGTACTATGAGATGGGTAGTGTCATCTGGATTTATAGGATATTGAGGTGTTGGTAGCTCCTGGCAGAACGGTCTACAGCTTATACGTTGTCTAGAAACTGTAATACTTGGATTATGAGCCTAGTCAATAAAAATTACAGTGCCACTATTACTACCAATATTCACGTAATTGACTCTCATGTTCGTAATAATCATTATACCACCAATCATTTATGATGCACTTAGAGTGTGCCAGGCATAGGCTTTAAAGCCATTATCCCATTTATTCCTCCCTACAGTACTATGAGATGGGTAGTGTCATCTGGATTTATAGGTGAGAAAACTGATGCTCAACAAGATTGTCACATACCCAGGGTCTCAGATTTATTAAGGGACAAAGCTAGCATCCAAAGCCTATATTCATAATGTGGGTGACATTGCATTTGTAACTTCATTTGATTACCACAACAAACATTTGTGGTAGAGTAAATGTGTTTTCCTCATTTTTCAGATGCGGGGTTCTGAAGGTCAGAGATACTAAGTAACTTTCTCAAATGGGTAGTTAGTGAAGTTAGAATCAAATTCAGCCTTCTGACGAAATTACATCATGCTGGATTCCCTCGAAGCTTAAAAGGCTGCATTTTAGCCCGAGAATGTTTCGGAAGGACTGNTTTTTTTTTTAAGACTTATAGTCCAGTGCGAGAGTTTCTATGAGAGGTAACCCATGGGTGGCATAGGAGCCCAGAAAAGTGGGCACCTGACCTAGTCTTTTGGAGCCAGGAAAGGTTTCCTAGAGGAATGGTGCCTGGGCCGAGCTGTACGAGAGGAGTAAGAGACGGCAAGAAGGAAGGCCCAGAAGGACACAGTGCTTCCATGGAGTTCCAAGTCAGTCAGTGGCCGGTGCAGGAGGTGAGGGTGGCAAGAGGCATGGTGGGAGGCAGTGGGCAGGAGTCAGATCCCAGAGGCCACGGAGGCCTTGCCATTAGGGCAGTGGGAACCGTGGAGAGATTTCAAGCAGAAGAGGATTGTGGATAGATCTGTCTTTTGAGTGCTCATCTGTCAGCTTTGTAGAGAATGGAATGCAGGGAAGCAAGGCTGGAGGCAAGGAGATGGGTGAGGGGCAGGGGGTAATTTGGTCCAGAGATAGAGAGGGGGGGAGAGAGCAGCCTGGTAAGACAGAAGGAGGACCTGAGAGGGGATAGTTGAGGGCGTGAGGCCTATGTTTCTGGCCTGAGTGGCTGAAGCAGTGGCAGGAACAGGGCACAATGTTAGGGTGTGGAGGGAAAGATGAATCCATTCTGGGCACGCTGAGTTTGAAGCAACTGTGACATGTGGCAGAGGTGCCATCTTATTGCCTAGGTCTGGAGCTTGGAGAGATGTGCCCTGACACAGACTTGGGAGCTGTCATTGTGCAGCTCATAGTTGGTGTCATTGACAGGGAAGACAAAAAGTTCCACAGCCTTAGCTGTAGCTGTCTTGAACAACTACCCCATGGGACTTTCAGCAGGAGTTGTATGGCCTAAAATTCCCAGTGAGTCTCTAGCAAGGAACCAAAAAACCGATATTCAGTGGTTTTGACTGAAAAAAGGTCCATGATGAAAGAAGGTCTGTGATGTCTCATGAGTAACAATTATATTCTGAATGGCATTGGTGCAAGCAGGGAGCAGCAGATTGGAGTGTAGGGCCTGCTGAGTGGGTCCCTGTGCCGAGAAGCAAGATTGATCCAGTGGCCAGAGGGTGGTCACCTGTCTCTGCCCTTTAGAATATTCCAGGACAGTAAAGGCTGGCAGAAGGATCCTGGTTGCTGGAGGCTCCAAGAAGAAAAGTATGAGTGACTGTGATCTTTCCTTTTCTTTGGGTATCTCATCATTTTTAGTTGAAAGTCAGATATCTTGTAGAGTCAGATATCACGGTAGAGACTGAGGTATTTGTTTGGAAATGGGCACGCCTCTTCTTTTGGGGGTCAGTCAGTCAGGAATTGAGTGGTTCGGATGATGGTGTTGTTATGATTAGCCTCAGTATACATGGGCTTCAGATTCCTCTGGCATTANAAAAAAAAAAAAAAAAAGGAGCACAGAGCCCTGGGCCCCCCCAAGCTTGCTTCTCAACCAGACACAGAGAGCTGAGGGGCTCAGATGAATTACGCTGTGGGGTTAGCACTTTCCCATCCCCACCCAGTAGCCCTGAAGACTCTCTGCTCCTTGTGTCTCTCCATGTGTCTTCTGTTTCTTGTGACCCCAGGTCATAATAGCTAACTTTTATTGAGTGCCAACTTTGTTCCTGGCACTGTGGTTTGTTAATTAATAAGCCCATGCTGCAGACAAGGTGACCTAGGCTTAGAGAGGTGAAGTCCTTCATCCAAGGTGGCACACTTGAAAGGCAGAGCTTGGAGATGTCACATGTAGTCAGCCTCCAGAGCCTGTGCTCTTAGCCACTGTTCAGTGCTTCCTGCCTTTCAGCACGCCTCTCTTTAGACATGTGACCTGCTGTCTTGTGCTGTGTCCCCACATGCACCAGTTGCTACACAGACTGAACTCTTTCCCAGTACCCGTGGCCAAGCCTCCCTGCTGCCTGCCCCAGCCCAGGCAGGGCTCAGCCCTTCCTGGCCTTCCCCGTCCCATGCCAGTGATCAGGGCTCTACCTAGCGATGTCCCGAGTTCAGATATCAGCTGTGTGGCATGCAACAGGCAGCAGTCTCGGGGAGAGAGCACATGCCTGCTGGCCCGAGAGAAAGTACGATGAAGTGAAAGTGCATTGAAAGGTTGAGACCTAGAGTAATGCCACATGGTTTGACACATTCTTCATAAAACCCAGAAACCGAGCTCCCTCACCTTTCAGAGGGTTTGGTAAAGTTAGGCTCCGATCCCAGTTAATTCCTGTGTTTATAAAAATTCAAAGCTCTTCCAGCCATTCTGCTCACCCCTGGAGTCACCCTCTCTTGCTTCACCTCCTGATTAACATGTGTTCATTCTGTTTCACCCAACATATCCTGGTTCAGCTTCTTTCCTCCTTCACATTTTCACCACCACGACCACCAAAACACCCCACTAATTCTCACTAAGCGTTTCCTGAGTATTAGGAGAATTCGCTTAAGATTTGAGGTTTTTCGGAGGGGTCATGCTGCCATCATGTGCTCTTGTCCTCCTTCCTTTGGGATTAGCTCCAAATTCTCCTCCCTGTCTGATGCAGAACAGCTCCCCAGTTCCTTCTGGGGCCAGGCAACACCCATGCTCTGGTGGGGAGGCGGGGAAGGTGATCAGCAGGACTAATGGCCTTTCCATGCTCCACCCTCCTTATAGAGCAGTTCGAGTGCTGACCAGCAAAACAGATCTTACCCTCTTACAGCCATTTTCTCCTTTTTATTCCCCAGACAACATCAGGTCATGTCCAGTTTGACAACTGCAACTTTGAGAATGGGCACATCCAGGTACATGGCCCAGGTACCTGCCAAGTGAAGTTTTGCACCTTCAAAAACACCCATGTCTTCCTGCACAATGTGCCCCTGTGTATCCTGGAAAACTGTGAATTTGTGGGCAGTGAAAACAACTCTGTGACTGTTGAGGGTCACCCTTCTGCAGATAAGAACTGGGCCTACAAGTATCTACTAGGGCTTATCAAATCCTCTCCCAGTTTGCTCCCCACAGAGGACTCTGACTTTTTAATGTCCCTGGACCTGGAGAGCCGGGACCAGGCCTGGAGCCCAAGGACCTGTGACATTGTCATTGAGGGCAGCCAGAGTCCTACCAGCCCAGCCTCTAGCTCCCCAAAGCCAGACTCCAAGGAGGCAGAGGTGGGCAGTGATGGGGAAAGGGTGGCCCAGACCCCAGACAGCAGCGATGGAGGCCTAAGCCCCAGCGGTGAGGATGAGGACGAGGACCAGCTCACGTACAGACTGTCCTACCAGGTGCAGGGCCCACGCCCTGTATTGGGGGGCTCCTTTCTGGGCCCACCATTGCCAGGAGCATCCATTCAGCTGCCCAGCTGCCTAGTGCTGAACTCACTGCAGCAGGAGCTACAGAAGGACAAGGAGGCCATGGCACTGGCCAGCTCTGTGCAGGGCTGTCTCATCCGCAAGTGCCTCTTCCGGGATGGGAAGGGAGGCGTCTTTGTCTGCTCCTACGGCCGAGCCAAGATGGAAGGAAACATCTTCCGGAATCTAACTTATGCGGTGCGGTGTATACATAATAGCAAGGTGCTGTCATAAGGGCTTACTCTAGACGCATGATGCCATACTGGGTCATCAGGAACATGATTTTGATTGGTGGCAGGGCTCTGGTAGCCATATGTAGGAAGGGTTTGATGGGGCTATTTTGCATTTAAAAAATAATATTTTCTTTTTTAACTTATTAACACACACTGGACTTCATGTCCACCATTTGATTTGGATAAGGCAGAAACCGTTTTTCCTATTTCACAGAAAAGGAAACAGAGGCCCAAAGAGGGAAGGTGTCTTACTCAGGGTCCCACAGCAAGTTTGAGGCAAGATTGAGACTAGAATTCAGGTCTTCTGCCTCCTTTCATTAGTCATACTGCTTCTTAAACATGTCACCTAAGTCCTAGTAAAAGAAACAAGATCTTTTTAGCCTGGATAAGGGAAAATTCAGGCAAACACGATCACTGCCTTCGATACAGACTTGAGTAGTGTAGTTGAGAAGACTTCCCAGAAAGATGTCT